TCGATTTTTTGGCAGAGTTCACCTTCAGGGCTAGGAGTTGGCACAGGGGGGAAGTGAGCATGGGGATTCCGAATACAATATTAGTTTTCAGAATTATCGATTGCTTTTATTGATTTTATCGATTTTTTGGCAGAGTTCACCTACAGGGCTAGGAGTTGGCACAGGGGGGAAGTGAGCATGGGGATTCCGAATACAATATTAGTTTTCAGGATCGTCCATTACTTTTATCGATTTTATCGATCTTTTTGCAAAGTTTGACCTGCGGGGCTGGGAGTTTGCACAGAGGGTAATCGAGCATGCAGATTACGAATACAATATTAGTTTTCAAGATCGTCCATTACTTTTATCGATTTTATCGATTTTTTGAAAATTTGAGCTAGGGGGCTGGAATTTGGCACAGGGGTGTTCGAGCATGCTGATCACCCCCCTTGGGGATGATCAGCATGCTCGATTACCCCCCTGTGCCAACTCCCAGCCCCCTAGCTCAAACTTTGCAAAAAATCGATAAAATCGATAAAAGTAATCGATAATCCTGAAAACCAATATTGTATTCGGAATCCCCATGCTCGATTACCCCCCTGTGCGAACTCCCAGCCCCGTAGCTCAAACTTTGCAAAAAAATCGATAAAATCGATAAAAGTAATCGATAATCCTGAAAACCAATATTGTATTCGGAATCCCCATGCTCGATTACCCCCCTGTGCCAACTCCCAGCCCCGTAGCTCAAACTTTGCAAAAAAATCGATAAAATCGATAAAAGTAATCGATAATCCTGAAAACCAATATTGTATTCGGAATCCCCATGCTCGATTACCCCCCTGTGCCAACTCCCAGCCCCGTAGGTGAACTCAGCAAAAAAATCGATAAAAATCGATAAAATCGATATCGATCGATGACGAAAAGTAGCCTATGACACCCGCCGGGGCCCGTAGTGTATGTGTGCCAAGTTTGGTCCGGATCGGTTCAGAAATGGAATTTTCTATTCGGAACATACGTACACACAGACAGACAGACAGACAGACAGACAGACAGACATACAGACAAACAGACATTCAGCTTTATATATAAGATTTTCAACATTCGCGATGTTGTCAGTGCTCCTGATTGCGTCATCAGGATCACAATAGTATAAAATGTTGCAGATTTTCGTTAAGACCCCGCCGAGATCTACGACCAGCCAAACGCCCGTCGGCTCTGGTCTGTCTCCGCGCGTTGCAAAGACCGCGTTAAAATCCCCTGTTTTTTTCTTTTTAGCTCTTTTCAAGCGGTTTTTTGTACATTCCATAGATGTTGCTTCCGTTTATAATGTAGACAACGTCGCGGGCCTAACTTCTTGGATTGTGGTGGAATACCTAGCACAAAACTGTAAAAAGTGCGCTTTGGTTGGTAGGCCTTTACTGAAGTTAGTAAGCAACCATTTCTTACAAGGGAAGGATACTTGATCGCAGTAACGATTGGGTAAGCGGTGTATACCGCGCACACCGTCCTCAGACGATGATCTCTAAACCGCATTCCATATCTGCTATAACGTCTTTCTGGAGGAGCTATAAAAAAATATTGGTGCAGTGGATAGTGGCTTGGACTGCGGAGCCGGATGCCGTGGGTTCGATTCCTCTGAGATGCCACCCGTTTTGCATTTTTCTAAATTTTAGGAGGTAAGTTGCAAAACCGGTCGACATCAAAAAAAGTTGATTTTCACAATATGAAGCAATATGATTACATTCATTGGCACTGAACCACCGTCTAACCTAAAAACACTCGTTTTTAGCCTTTTTCATTAAATACTTTACTCCATTTTATATTAAAAAATTCCGAATTCGTGCTTAACATAGAGAGGAGCAGCTAACCTTTCAAAATGGCGTCTTTATCGATTTTTTGATGCACAATATGTATGAGTAAAGTTAATGAAAAAGGCTAAACGAGTGTTCTTAGGTTAGACGGTGGTTTGGTGCCAATAATTGTAAATATATTGCTTCATATTGTGAAAATCAACTTTTTTTGATGTCGACAAGACTTGCATCTTGCCTGCTAAAATTTACAAAAATGCAAAATAGGTGGCATCCCAAAGGAATCGAACCCACGACGTCCAGCTCCGCTGTGCAAGCCACTATCCACTGCACCAAAAATCCTTAATAACTCCTCCAAAATGACGTCATAGCAGATATGGAATGCGGTTTAGGGATCACCGTCTGGGGCCAGTATACGCGGTATACACCGCTTACCCAATCGTCACTGCGATCAAGTATCCTTCCCTTGTTAGATGCTTGGGGCATTTTGCCCAGTGTGAGCACAACAAAGCTAACAACGTCGCCAGAAACAGTAACTACGATAAGGGACTAAAAATCCAACGGACGCATCAAAAACTGAATTTAACTGAACAAAAATTGACTTGCATTTCGACTTAGGGAAAACAGAACCTTACGTTTTCATAACGGAATGTTTTTCGTTCATTTTCTTCTTCGTCTTGATAATTACCATTTCCAAAATACAGGGTGTCCCAAAAAATGTATCGAACGTTTGATCGCTAATATCTCTCTTCCCAAGAAGTCTTTTGCCTTGCTTCAGATACCGTTTTGTAGAGCTGGCTTCAACTTAGATTTGCATTATAGAACGAATCACCCATCTCTCTCCATTACTGTAGGATTACGGTAGAAACTTGAAACATATGGTGTCAATGTGGAAAAAGCTGCCGTTTCAAAAATTTTCAAAAAATTGTGAAAAGTTGTATATTGGGGTTTTTATGGACGCTGAGTTCAATACTCAACTATTCTCAAGATTGCGAAGCTTTCTAAAAGGTGTAACAGCACTTTTTAGAAACATTGAAAAAATGGCCGCTACATCTTACCTGGCATAACTCTTCAATAAAACATCATAATAAGTTGGGAACTTTACAGTTATAATCAGCAACTCTATTTAGCCTAGTATAAAAGCTTTCAGGCTGTTTTGTTTCCTTTCTGAGGCAAAATATGGCCTTTCATTGCTTAAAACCCTCTTTATAGTTTCTACAGTAATCCTACAGTAATGAAGAGAAATGAGTGATTCGTTCTATAATTCAAATCTAAGTTGAAGCCAGCCCTACAGATTGGTACCTGAAGCAAGAGAAAAGCCTTCTTTGGAAGAGAGATATTTACGACCAAACGTTTGATACATTTTTTTGGGACACCCTGTTTTCTTTTTAAGACTTACAAAAAAGAAACTAGCCTTTCCTCGTTTTCCTCCATGCTGTTTGGTCGTGAAAATCTGCAATTCGAAATGCTTTAAAGAATTTCAAACTGACTGCGGCGTTTTGGTAGGTTTTCAAAAGCTTCTTCTGCTTTCGCTGACTGTTTTGCATCTTTTTCTCTTCTTTGATTTCCTATAAATATTATTTTTTATGGGGGGGGGGGGGGCACATACTCAAACAATTATGGGGGATGGGGGGGGGGGGACCATACTCAAACAACCTTCATTTCTGACGCCCTATTTCTAGACTATCGAAGGTAAGTTTTTGAGCGGATTCTATTCTGATGAATCACTCTATGTTTGATGTTTTGCAACCAAAAAGATGCGGAAAGATAAGCGCTTTTGTAAGATGTTCAAACATTATCAAGTAACTTACGAATTTGTTATACTCTCCGAAGAAATCATTTCAAAGAATCAAATCATCAAAAAACCATTATATTCGTAAAAGTGGAGTATAATCAAGGACATCAAAAAAATAACTGGTATTTATTCTAAGAACACGTAAAAACTAGTGCATTGTAATAAAAAATGTGGACAATCTGTTAAGACAAACCCATCAAAGCACTGTGTGGTGAATGTGCACTGATTCAGAGATGAAATCATCAAAAAAGTTCAAATATAAATTGTCTTTCAAAGCTCTTGTACGTCTGTTTCATGACTAAAGATCCAGCCTCCGTGATAGGCTTGCTAGGTGAATCATATACCGGAACCAACACAACAAATGCCTGAATAAGCGCAGACTAATTGTGAAAGCATGATTTGTTCGAAAGAACTGTACGCAAGATTACTACTTTCAGCTGCACTCTAACAGCTGTAAAAAAATATTAGTGACACAGCGCACTAACTCGAACCATGGTCGTGTTCTAGATGCAAGAAACTTTGCTTGACGGCGAAACTCCTTTCGAAGCAAAAAAGTGGAAGATAGGAAATGAAAAGTGAACAAAACCCTCTCCAGATTTCTTAAATTTCTTACAAATTTTTGACCGCAGAGATTGGAAAGTCAAACAGTGTTAAAAAGAACTTTATCAACTGATTATCAAACTTTTGGCGAGGATAGAAGGTCCCAAGACATGGGAGTAAAGAGAATATCTTTTAATAAGAAAAGTAAAGAAGAGAAAAAACTCCTGAGATTTGGCGAATGTCCAAGTTAGTCAGAAATGTCAACTATGAGCTTAACATATACGCTGCTTTTTCATACGAGTCATTCACGACATCTTACAACCTAATTGGCCCTGGTTCTATGTCCAGAATAGCTGTAACAGATCGACAGTCAATGCAATCAAAGGCAACTGTTGATTCATACCATAAAAAGCTCTTTCGCACTTATCAACGAATCTTTCTTGACCTGATGACGTCTATTTTATATTATGCTTTTGCCAGATCCAGCACAAAATGGGTAAGATAAAATCACACCCTAATCACTTTCAAACGGGCTTGACTCTCGAGTGCGACAAAAAAGGATAACAAGCTGAACTCTCATGGAATAAACGCAATTTCCTCTTTTTATTTGAATAAGCAAGAAGCACATCTTATAGACCTACTTTCTCACAGCATTGAAACTTTCAACTTAATGACATTATAGATCAAACAACGTTAGAGCCAAAAAAGACAGGAAGTCCAAAATGGTTATTGTCCTTTTTCACTATGATGACTCTCAAATGATTTGAACCAGTTACTTGAATAACAACTGCTGGAAATAATCTGTTTCGCGTAAACCCAAATTTATTAACCTATTTGTTACTGTTAATTTGAGGCAATAATTTCTATGCTCTTTCCAGGAGACTACGATCGAACCGTGTCCGAGCTCAATTCATCAAGAGCAATAGTCCCTTCACAGTAAGAGAGCAGAGCCATAGCCGGCTAATTTAGGCAACTATACGTTTTATTCTTTCGAATCCTTAACAAAACAACCACGGAGAATTTATTAGCTAATCGAAATGTAAATATAGACACCAACCTATGCCGAGTGTACATTCAAAAATCTCTCTAAGGTTGTGTTTTTTCTAAAGGACCTCTACGGGCTTTTACTTATTTAAATTTGTATTCTACTTTCAAAAAAGACCTGTTCTGTCGATTGTTGTCTAATAAAGGACAGATGTGTGCAGATCAAAAAGTTTTCCGGTGACCATTCATATCGTGCGTGATTACCTTGAATCTTTGCTGTATCCTGTGTGCAACATGCAGCTTTTTTCGATATAATTTTGGTACAAGCTATAATCATTCAAGTTGTTTTGTACAAGTATTCTCAAGTATCTCACTTTATTTTTAGTGTGTGTACATTTTTCGTTTCTTTTTTGCATAGTCAATGTGTCACTTAACCCCCTTAGGCATTTTCTGATCCAAGCAGAGCGCTTCTTATCCAGTGTCTCTGCTTTTATTAACTTTATCATGTGTTTTGTCTTGAATTTCGTTCCTCATTTTATGTATGAGCACGTACAGTCGGGTCAAATAAATCTTTCAAAGTATCCAAGTGTTGATGTGACATGCTTAATGGGGGATATCCGCCAGCAGCAACAGGAGATGTGATAGTGTGGTTATTGGGGGGTGGGGGCGTTGTGATGGCGAAAACCTGCACATACGTACGAAACTGGATCGTCGTGAAATAGTGCTGAGGTGACGGAGGCGCAGGAGCAGTCGCCATGCGACGAGCGCGCGATGTGGTCGTCGTCGCGACGTTGCTCTTCGCGACTGCTGATGCCGTCGTCGGCGATCTGAAGACCGAATCTGATGACGACACCGTTAGTGTCTATCGCATTTTGCCGAAGAATGACACTCAATTTCAAGTCATTCGACGTCTTTATGACAAGGCTACCGAGCTGGAGGTTAGTTGTCTCAAATCCCCTAGTTTCGTTTAGTTCAAGACAATCATTTTATGCTATGGAAAGCTTCAAACACAAATTACTTTTTTACTTAAATTATCTTTTCATCATCAGTCGCAGGAATGCAACTTTATTCTTACAAGGGAAGGATACTTGGCGACCGTGGCCATTCATAATGATTTGTATATCAAAAACCGCTCCCTTCAAAGCTGGTTCGAATATTGTCTTCCATATCTGCGAAACGATGACCTGGATGGAGTTATGATCTTTTCATGAAGAAATTATGCTATTGCGGAAGGTCAAAGTCATCAATAAAAAGTTTCTTTCCTTTTCAAATGCTAGATATGATTTAGATATTTATATGTATTTTTAAACAGTACTCCATTTAAATTTCTCTTAAATAGCTTCAAACGCTCAACTATGACAAATTTGGCGATTTTAACCACCTAAAACACGCAGATTTTCTATGAAAACAAGTCCATAACTTTTTTCAGAAGATCGTTGCGCAGTATCGAGCACAGATTTAGAATCAGCGTTTCGAGGTGCATCTTACGGTAAACATCGCAGTCCTGGCCACGGTCACTAAGTATCCTTTCCTTGTTAATTCTCTGCCATACTACTGTCATGATCTTCTGTAACTCGGCTTCGGGCATTTTATGAAACGAGTTGAAGATTATATGGTCGTCATAAATCATCATACATCCTTTCTCCACCCCCCCCCCCCTCTCCCAGCGATTATTCCATTTCCTTTTGTAGCTCAATTGCGCGCGATATTCCGTCGTTTTCTCTTATCAAATGAAAGTGCAACATCAACCTTACATCACAAAAAAATCCATAGTTTCAATGATGGAAGAAAAATGAGAGCTCTTTTGTCTGTTCTATTCCATCTTATGATTATCATTAGATGAAGCAAATGGACACACCTATTGTTTTTATTTTTCTGTACTCTCTCTCTCTTGTCAGTCTTTGTTTCATGACGTAGCATCAGAATCGAAAACGAAGCACTATGATCCGGATAAGCGTCTTTTTCATTATCATAGGACTGGTTCCCTAAAAGGATGTCACAGCTTTTTTTCCTCTCATTGACCTCTCTTGAACTCCATGCACTTCAAAACCCATTCATATCAGGTCTCAAGAGAGAAACTCTCCGCGTGTCTGAGTTTCTTTTTCAAACTCTTTGCATTCATGCAGCAAACCACTTCTTACAATGATAGCCGTGCCCCTCTTGACGAAACATTTGCCCCGCTGCTATGAAATTGCGTATACGCGAGAAACCAGATGTTCTAGCGTGCCTCAACTTTTTTCGGCGCCTTTCAAACGAAAAGGTAAAATGGCATGGCGTAACATAATTACAGGCGTTGATCCTGCACTACCGCTTATAATTGGCGACCCTGTCCACAACGCGCACTTTTTCTAGATGTTTCTTGCTGTCACGTCGGCTTTGGGGCATCACAAAGCATTATCGTATCTTTTCTCTTTGAAATTCATTGCTTTCAAGCAAACGTCGGCCATGTTCGCTTTTCACGACTAAAATAGCAAGAACAAAGAAAAGAAAATTGAGCGGCTGATACACCTCGGCCATCTAAGCTCCTTCTAGTCCTACATGCTTACACCAAGGAGAAACAAAGTTATATAGGGTGTTCCAGAAATGTGCCTACCTTTTGATTGTTAGTAGCAATCTTCTCCTGAGGTCTTTGAAGCTTTAATTACCATTTCGTAAAGCTGGCTTCAATTAGGTCTGCGGTATAGAGCAATCACGATTGCTATTAATTACTGTATAACCACGGTGGGAACTTTGAAAGGGGTTTCGAGCCATGAAAGGCCATATTTCGCCTTAGAAAGGGAACAAAGTGACCTAAAAGTGCTCAAACTAACTGAGTATAGTTGCTGATTCCAAATATGGATTTTGCATTTCATCATAATACTCTTGGAAAGTCATGCCAGGTAAGCAGTGGCTGCCGTTATTTCAATGATTCTAGAAAACCAAAGTTGTGTATTGAGTTCAGCGTCCATGAAAACCCTAATCGCATAAGTTTTTTGATTTTCTCGTCAAACGTCAGATTTTTTACAACGTCAGATTTTTTCGCCATATGGCTGTCCTATCGTAGGCCTACAGTAATGAAGACGGTTATTCTCTCTATCCTGTAAATCTGAAGCTAGTTCTACAAAATGGTGCCTAAAGCTTCTCGACAGACTTCATTAGAGTTACTAACAATCATACAGTAGGCACTTTTTTGGGGCACCTTGAATTGGCTAAAGTGCCATTTTTTGTGCTTGGTTTGAAGATTCCTGACAATAGTCATCTCAAAAAGTAAAAGCGAATCTTTTGACTGAACATAAGCCTTTCAATTGTGTCATTTTCAAGTACGTTCCGTTGATTTTCCGTCCCAGGTTTGAAGCATAAACATTTTCAAGTATTCCGCTTTACAGCCAAGTCTATCATATGGAAAAGAGTCCAGTAATCGCTATTCAGATCGCTGCTTTGGCAATAAAATGAACTTGCTCTCAACATAGAGTTTACTACCAATGGAGTGACTGGGTAGTCAATAGTGCATACTCCTGTAAAGGGAAAAAACGGGTAATTTACTGACGGCGCGCATCTTCGCGATCGTAGCCTAGTTGCAGGTCTTTGCAAATTCGGATGCAAGATTCTAGTAATGCAGTGCTCTAGAAGAGTCAGGGTTCATTGCCTTTTCCTAGGGTATGGGAAGAACACAAGCACGCAAACAGCATAAGTGACTTCAAGAAAAATCGTTGAGAATCTGAAGCTCTACGACTTGCCTAATCAGAGACTCTAGGGCACACGAGTGGAGCAAAACCTCATTAAACTTCACTACCACTTTTTTGAAAAGGATGTAGCTGGCTGTTACTGGCTTGGCTTAGCAACATACCAGACCTGAACAATCCGTTTATAGAAGAGACAGATTAGATCGAATAAGTGTCAGCGCGACCTCCGACAGCAGACGTGTTTTGCTGTCCATTCGTTTTTCTATCCTATCAACTCCATAAGCAGCTAATACGCTGGATCTTGCAAGCGAACACCGACGAAAGACGATCTTAGCATCAAGCGATACTTGTTACTTGATAGCCAATCAGAACTATCTTTAGAAGTCTCAAGTGATGCAAGTGTAAGAAGACTTTCTCTCTCGAGCCCAAAAAGAGACTCGATAATTTTCATTTGCTTTCGTTGAGATCATCGTGCTGCCCTTAAGATAAACCGGTCTGCCAAAAAGGTCAACCGCCGAACACGCATACGTCGATGTTGCTGTAGCGGTAGCGGGTTTCATAGATCGTCGCCTTTGGCGTGACCTGCATGGACAAAAAGATATGCGCAGCTATCCCTTAGCATAACTAGAATTCGCACCGCTATGCGGTCCATTTTCTTGTCTATCAAAGCGATAATCAGTACCGCATACAAGATGGAAGCAACTTTCGATGTCAGCAATTAGCGAGCCGATGTCGACGCAAGATTACGAACAGAAGCTTGTCTTGTCGATTGATGGTCTTATAGAACTAACACCAATAATATCGTCTGGTAGCCTACATGAATTATGAAATTGCCTTAAATGGATAGCATCACTAGAATATTTGTCTTTCTAACAACACCCCCTCCATTTAGATTGATTTTATGCTCCTCTCTTTCAAAAGGATTGCTCGCAAATGTCTTGCTCGCGTATGTTTTAATCTTGGTAAATATGACTTGAAAAATTGACAGAATCCATGTTTTGATTAAATAAAATACAATTGATTTGTAATATAATCATACGCACAACTACATTTAGGGAAAATCGTTTTTTCTCAGATGCTTCAAGCATTTCGTGACTTCGGGGCGGCTCAAGTCAAATTGAAGAAAATTTATCGTCTAGAAGCAAGCGATAGAGAGAAAGATAAACTGAGCGGATATTGAAAGACTGATTCAAAAAAAGGATATATAAAATTATTAGTACCATGGTCGAGAGACTGACTTGAAATACAAAATTTCCGTAATGAAAATTTACTCAAATTACGCAAAGGCACGATTCTGGTCTGAGAGAATTTCATGACCATGACCATCACTTCTTTTCCAGCTAAACTTTTGGAAAACCGCCAAGAATCTCAATGGATTCTGGGATGTGATGGTAGACAAAAAAGTCAGCAAGGATCTATTGGCGCTGTTGCAGAAACACGACATTGCCTATTTAAAGACTATAGGAGACGTTCAAAAGTAAGCTTTTCGATAAATAAGCCTATTTGAATTACCGCTCATCTTTCAAGGCTCATCCAAACAAAGGAGCACCGAAAACGACCACGGCGATTGAAAGACGAATCATCCGGGCCGTTCTACGACTTTCACCGATATGGTTCTTACAGTCAAATGGTGTCTTGGATGCGCGCCTTGGCAAGAAACGACCCGCAGCATGTTCAGTTTATTTCCATAGGCACTTCACACGAAGGGAGATCTATCGATGGTCTTGAGGTAAATTTTAGCAAAAAAATATTTCAATGACTTGTCAATGAATTTATGACGAAAAAGCACCCAAATGATGATAGATGACAACCAATGTTTTAAGATGAAAGTGTCAGTTTATAATGACTCACAAGTGGGCATTGAAAAACAGTCTCCACTTGGAAACGCTAATTGTCTTCAAGATATAGACAATTATTTCGCGCATTGCCCTTTTTTATTGCTTTTTCACAATCTGATATTGATCAAGTGTCCATCCGCTCAATACAGGATCCGCAGAGGCTATAATCTCTTAGGTCTCCATAAAATTTCTTCGATGGCTAGTTTTTGGAGACATCAATTATCTAATCGCGCTCGTTCCGTTCAGATTGGAAGTCGGGATCGATCAAGGCGCATTTTCTGGATCGATGGAGGAATTCATGCTAGAGAATGGGCTGCACCGCATACTGCGCTTTACTTTATCCATCAGGTATCGGTATATTACGATATGTCTAATTTCTTTTGAAAAATCAGAGATCGCAGCCAAATTTTTCTCTGACTGTATTGTAATTTTAGAGTGATTTGAGCGGAAGGATCGGAATTCCCTTAGTTTGTAAACAGCTTTTGAGAAAAAGATTTTGAAATCAATCGTCAAAAATGAGTCAAAGAATAGTAAGTAGATTGGGTCGCGCAATTTTTGAAAGTTATTTAAATGTGTTATAAAAAAGTGCAAGCGATTTGTTTTTACTTGCAAATAATTAGAATAATTTTTGAAAATTTTTATGAATTCAAATTAGCCTTGTAGATTTTTTCGGCGGCGTGGCTGCCGCCACGCCCCTTTTTTGAAATTTCGGGGTAAGGGCCCGCAAAAATTTCGGAAAGCATCTCAAAAGATTTTTCAGAGTGCGTGACCAACGTCACGCACCTTCATCCAAAAAAAAACTTTTTTCGCGCTCCCCTTCCCCCGCCCCCTCCCCCCAAAGGAACCCGAGAACGCCAGTGGTATTGGGTTAACTTACAAGGGAAGCATAATTGGTGAGTGTGACCTTTTGCAGTAAGACGTATACCAGAAAATGCGCCTTAAAACGCTGATTCCAAATCTGTGTTCATTATCTGCAGTGCGACTCGCTGAACGAAGTTATGGACTTTTTTCCATACTAAGAAGGGAAGGATACTTTATCGAAGTGGCGTTTCCATATGAAATACTATCTTGTAGAGCGTGGAACGCTGATACTAAATCTGCCTTCATTTGCAAAGCGCTTCTGCGAGGGAAGTTATGGGGATGTTCTGAGTTTTGACGCGCAAATTCTGAGGGGCCCGCTCAACGAATCCGTTCGTGCTTTTGCATGCTGGAGTTCTACGTTGGTAGCATGCGCTATGTAAAATTTGGGCTCGGGATGGTGGCTGGAACCCGCTGTATGAATTTTGTTACAGACAGACACACACACACACATACACAAAGTCACGTAAACACCCTTAGCCCGTTATTATAAGTTATGATACTTATCAAATGTGTTAATTGTTCGCTAGCACAACCTACAGTGCTTAGTTTACAATACTCGCTTTGCTCATACTTGGTACTTTTTGAATGATTGATGAGAAGTTTAGACAACGCATTCAGTCTATGAGCAGGGCACGGCACAGGTGGCTTAGCAAGCAAGCTGGATATCGTTTTTGGGGAAAAAGCAAAGGGGATATCGTTTTTGCGGAAGAGCATAACGTTGTCTTTCGATCTGCGGCCGGCACGCTGCCGGCATGCCGCCAGCAAATAAACAAAGGGTTTGTTTACAGCGAAGTGAAGATGAAATGACACCAAAATAGGTGTGTAGATGGGCATTGGAGAGTTAGGACTAAGTATGAAAAATTATGAAAAAATTATGTAAACTAAAGGCATGCTCAACTTTTTTTGGAGTTAGGTGGCTTTCAAGCCACCTGGATAGCCATGAGGTGGCTTATGAAAGAAAAAGTCATAAATTTTTCCTCCCTCACATAATTTTTCTACTTTCTTTACATACTTTTCATCTACATCCCAAACCCTACAAATTGGTTCCTAAACCGCCTCAAAACCCCTTTTCCCCGCTTAGTTATAGCCCCTCGAATATTTTGAATGGCGGCGGAAAGGCTGCTCTAAGCGCGTATTGCTGCACGATGGATACATAATTGCCGCCAATCCGAAGACTATGAATATCATCGCGTGTGTTTGATGATTCTTTTTTGTTTTTTTTTCTGCTGTTGCTTTGTTCCGTCCCTTTTCGTGTATTTTCTTTTCGAATATCTCGTGGCGGATGTCGTAATTTCATTGAAGTCAAAGGGAACTTGATTTTTTGCAATTTCGAGACGCCACCTCGTGCTGAGCCCTGGTCTAGGGTCAAAGGGGACTTCGTAAAAATTCGCAGAAGTCGAGGGGGACTTCGTTTTTTGCATTTTCAACTAGCCACCTCGTGCCGAGCCCTGTCTATGAGGCAACAGTTGTGAGACCGTTGCGAAAATAATTATGAAATAAGCCATTAATAAGTTGATGCTGAAACTTTCCGTGATTCATACGCTATCGTTGTTAATTTCCAGCTCACCTCACGTTACGACACGGATCCAACCATCAAAAAACTGCTTGAAGAGATCACATTCGTCATCGTCCCGTGTGTAAATCCGGATGGTTACGAGTTCACGCGTTCTTCTACAAATCCTCACGTAAGTCTGTAAGGCAAGCGCATTTCGCAACGCAGCATTTCACCAATAATTTTTAGATACGATTGTGGAGAAAGAATCGTTCGACAATGCAATGTCACAAAGATAGTTGGGGACGAAATCGTTGCTGCCGTGGCGTTGATCTGAATCGCAATTTTGATTTTCATTTTAAGGGTCTGGTTACTTTTCAGTTCTACGTTACAATGAATGCTCAGAACACATCTTTCAGAAAGCGGATCAAGTGATGATCCATGTTCGGAGATCTATCAAGGGACTGGACCCTTCAGCGAACCAGAAACGAAGTAGACAGCTCTTTAACATATTGATTCTCCTAGGAAGAAATACTTGGGTGAGGAGTAGGTGCATAAATTTCTAACAAAAACTTTACAGAGCTATTCGCGATGCAATACTATCACGGCGATATAAGGGACGGGTTGATGCATTTATCACTCTGCACACTTATTCTCAGATTTGGATTCATCCCTATGGTCATCGCAAGGACAGCTATCCAGGCGACATTCAAGAGCTTGTAAACCTTTTTTTAACATTCAAAAAACGAATGTGCAGGTATAACAGCTTACGCAAATTAAGGCTTAATTTAGTATGACGTTGGAAAGAGGGCAGCCAAGGCGTTGCAAGATGTCTATGGTACTAAATATGTGGTTGGAAGTGGAGCAGATACTCTTTGTGAGCTAATTACTGTTAGCCATTCTATCAGTCTTACTGTACGTTTTAGATCCTGCATCTGGCGGTAGTGAAGATTGGGCAAAACATGCTGGAGGAGTCAAATATGTTTATCTTCTTGAGCTTCGGCCTGACGAGAAGAGTAAAAACATATCCCACGAGCTTGATTGATTTCGAAATTTTCTTTTTTTCCAGATTGGGATGGTTTCATTCTCGGTGAATCTGAGCTCGTACCAACTGCCAGAGAGACATGGGAGGGTGTCAAAGTAGTAGCTGAAGCTGTACTGGAACGTGCAAAACATAAGTCTGAAAGAGTTGGTGAGTTTCAATACATTTCCATTGTAGTTATGGTACCTTGATGCAAAAACGGAAAGTTTGCAGTTAGCTTTTTTTAAGAAACAACTAAAGCAAAGAACCGTCTAGGATGGAAGAGTTAATACAAGAAATGAGCTATAAAATCACAAGGAGATGCAGAGACAATGGTTTCAACAAATACATGCTGGCCAAAACTATATCCATCTCAACGAACGCACTGTTTCAGTTACTTCTCAATAAAACGACCTAAAATTTGGCATAGTTCTTCGCATGCCAGCCTACATACTGTCCACTAATCAAAACGCAACTCGCCTTTAACTGTTCTGGCGAATCATTTCTAGGCAAACCTGGAATGAAGGCTGGTCAAACCTATAAGCTCCCTAAAGTTTCTATCCATCTGAGTGTTTCTTGGCTTTTACAGTATCATATGTTTAAAAAAACTTCTCATAATTAAGTTGGAATATAAAATCTGTAATCTTCTTGTAATTAAGTTGGAATATTCCAGCTGCGTCACATTTGAAGATTAGGGTTCAATAAGATTCAATTACTTTCCTGACATAAAGACAGTTTCACGCATAATCTAGACTTATAATGCGCTCGCGTAAAAAATTTTGCGGTTTCTCGGCTGATGTGGATGTAGCAGGGTTAAAATTGAAGCTTCGATGTCACGTTCGCTGATATAGCAAACGTGACATCGAAGCTAGCGTAGATGAGCTCGCATTTTTGCCTTCAAAAATTTTCTACAATGTCCTCACGAGCATGAAATGGACGAAAGATCACATCAAAAAAAGTATTTGTTATATTCACGGATATCGACAAAGCTGCATTTCACCTTGTTTGAAGAAAAAATAGAAGTTTTGCAGCCCAATGACAGAGTTACACAATGTTGAAAAAGTTTCCCATTTGCTACATTTTTTGATTGTTTGTCTGTCTGTATGTGCCACATTGTGGAAACAACTTGTATTGTAAGTCACCAAGTGGTAAAAGCATTTTTGTCGCAGACAAAGATAACTTTGAGGCTCGTTGAATCCGTATTTTTTGGATGGAAACCGCAATAATGCCATGCTGGGGCCTGTAAAATTCCGTGTCATGATGCACGGACTCCCTTTTGCACAAACGATGCATTCATCCAACAAACGATGCATTCAGTTATTTAGTGCTCATAAGAGTATCGCAAAAAAAATTTGAAGGCAGAAATTCGAGCTCGAGTCTGCAGTTAGAACGATGTGGGTTTGATTTGATAGCGAAAGCAAACTTTTCCTCGCGGCTTATGTCGCTTTGCATCTGAAGGATGGCTGGAATTTCTTCACTGCTGTAACAGCTAAGAAACTGCAAAATTTACCACTTGAACACAGGTTTCAGAAGCTAAATCTATGTAAAAGAAACTTCATGCTAAAAAAAAGAAATCTTTTTTTTTGAAAGTATGACAGATCGCGACTCAAGCAAGACTGCATTCATATAAAGGGCTCTGAAGCCGAGGAATGCGTTGATGAAAGAAACTTTGTTGGACCTACGATTTTGACTAGCCTTCATGTTTTTTCCCGAAATTCTAATTTATGGATAATCAAACTGAGGTTCAAATTCTTTACCAGTAGGTTACGCACCCACGACTAGGCTAGTCTATTAGCTTGTGAAGAAAGTTTTGCCAACAGACGCTGAGCTAATTTGTTTTATTCATATCTTCATTATGAGTGGCTGTCATTTAGCGATATTTTGGTCATGTGTACTGACAACCTTAGACTATTAGGTATGTCATAGATGCTCTTTTTATAAAAGCGCGCTGGCTGCGTTTCAAAACATGTGGAGAGTTCGATTTTTTGAACCCTGATTTCAATGAGTTACATCTTGCTTGCAAAAAGGCCCGGTTACCGGGGCAAGTAATAGTCGGATATTGCTTCACCTAGCCAACACAAAGGATATAGCAGATTTTCAAATCAAGCTTCTGGAAGTTCTGCGGTCCATAATCTGAAAAATTTCCCTTTTCCCAGACCTGAGCGCAACGGATTTTTCTCCTTTTTGGGCATTTCTTCCTAGTTGATCGTCATTTTTTCGAACAAATAGCGTGTTAAATAGCTAGAGGCGCACACTAAGAACACATTTCAAACCAGCCCTATGCATTCGCATTCATTCTTGGTATTTACGAGAAGAATTGGCAGGACTTTTTTTACAACCTAATAGAAGATTCATTAACAACCGAGCGACATAAAGCTTTCTTTGAGGGAACAGTTTTGGCCAGCACCATATGGTATTTGCGCAATATGGTGCATCCCCCAGAATTCTTCCCATATGAACCCTCAAAGTGGCTGTCTTTGGATCATTTTAACATGTCAACCTCAAATAGGCTCCTTAAATTTGCTGGAATTAGCGTGTCAATCGACCAAAAGGCAACCACTTTGACGGTTCATATGGGAAAAATTCTGGGGGATGCACGATATACGTAGGAATATTCATTTCGTTTCAGTTGGCAAAAAGAAACACACGCTCCGCCTTGTAAGCAATTGAATCCATCAATTTACTAGCAAATCTTCATAACGTAATAAACAAACTTCGCAAGGTTCATTAATCAAATCTATACAACAAAGCAAATGTTCACAAACAATTTTACCATCCCGCTGAATAGGTGAGTACGTTTGTTCGCTCTCATTAAGCAAATGCATAAAAATTCTCTGAACATTTAAACGAAAGAAGCCAGGAAGTGGCTCGGCAAAATGGATCCCCGCCAGATTTTGGTAGTACTAGGTGATAGACCCCCAGGCATACCGTACCCCCAATTCCACCCTCTAATTCTTGCGCTAAGTCCAGTGAAGGCCCATCAAAACTCTACCAGCCTCGCCCATTTCCAGTAAGTGAGCGTCACTTTGAACTTTTAAGTAGTGTTTTCAGGACTTTATGCATGAATTGGAAGGTGGGTTGGGGCTACGCTATACTTTTGGGATGTACTACCTAGTACTGCCAAAGTCTACAGGGTCCATATTGCCAAGCCACTGCCTTTGAGCAGCAGAACCATAACCGCTAACTCGAAACATTGATGCTATTCTAACACACAGATTCTAAGTTCACGAAGCTGGTCAAACTTTCTAAACTGCAGATAATATGTTCTTTTTTCAATTCCATATAAATTTAGCAATTGTGAATACACACAAGATATTTCATGAACATAATTTGCTGAATGTTCAACATCGTATGAATCAATATCGCCTTCTCAAAGTAATGCATGTATTTCAGTGGAAGCGCCAACAGCAAGAAAATTCCGCTTCGGTGATGGCACTGAAGGATCATGCTATGATTTGCGCCATGCCTGTAAACGTTGGGTAGCCGAAAGACCGGAACTTTGCCGAACAGTGCCAATTTTCATGCGCGAAAACTGCGCCTACTCTTGTGGAAAATGCTAATTTTTATTGAAGAAACTCTGATCCAACTAATTACACTCAGTCTTTTCTTATGAAATGCATCTCATGTAGTTCGGCATCTGATCTTTACCTCCTGCCCAACTTTTTTGTCGTTTTTACCAGCTCAAATGCGAGTACACTGCTTGTTCACCTTCAGGAGCTTGTGTATGACATTACGCACATGTTACGTTTTCTTTTTATTGTATATATTTGTTAATGAACCAATGAAGTTCTTATGCTTGTAGTTCTTATGTAAACGGAAGTTTCTCACTCACGCGCGAGAGAAATCCCTGAGACTGAACAGCTTTGATAGGAGAAGTCGTAAGATAATGCGCGTCTTCAATGAATGATTTTAAGGTAACTTGACCCTACTTAACGCCGCTGATTTCAGCAATCTTGGCGCCTATCAGCAAAGAAATTAGCTATTTAGAATTTCGTTTATGAGGAAAATCACTGGAGGATGATTTTTAGTAGAATATCTTTTGGATGCCTTAAAGGCAGTGTCCGGGCAAAAACTCGATTTTGAGATTTTGTGCTTACTTGGGCCTATTCGCTACGCTGAATCCGAAAATGCACATTGTAGAGCGCGAAAATGGCGAAAAACGGCTTTAACACAGGAGGGAAATGAGCAGGTGGACGGGGCCCTCCCCACTGCGAATTCACGTTCCCGGCTTCCGGAGCGACTTTCTCGCTTCCGGTTTCAAGTCAATCATTCGCACTTGACCGGTAGCGATGTTAGGACGGCTAGCGGAATCGAGAAAATCGCTCCGGGAGCCAGGAGCGTGAAATCGCACTGGGGAAAGCCCCGCCCACCTGCTGATTTCCCTCCTGTGTTAGGGCCCTTTTTCGCCGTTTTCGCGCTTTCCAATGTCGATTTTCGGATTCAGCATGGCGAATAGGCCCGTATAAGCACAAAATCTCAAAATCGAGTTTTTGCCCGGACACTGCCTTTAAGAAACCCTATAGATCTTTTCATTCAGACGATATTAGTCTATGCGCAATTCTCTCTGATTCCCTATAAGTACAAGTAGCTTCAACTCACTTCATCATCACTAGTCTCTATGCCTGCTCAGACAATCGTGCAAAAGACTTCCGGCGCAAATGAAGTTCTATAACTTCCCAAGTTTAGTTTGCGCCGGAAGTTCTTCGGGATTGTCTGAGTGAGGAATTGTGGGACATTTGCGCCGAGTTTGTTTGCGAACTTGACTATTTGCCCATGATAATACTTCCACATGACAGACACATAACAGTGATCTCAGCTTCAAAGCGAAACAAAAAAATGCCGAACGGATGAATGAGATCGGCAAATCTCTTAGTAGTTACCGTATGCATTCACTGTTACCCCACGTGTTGAATTTCACGAGCAGCAATAAACAACTTGTCAAGAACTGTAAAATTAATGTTCACTTAATATTTATTTGCCAAAAGCGGTGTGCTGTGCTTTTATTAGGTTGTTGCAAAAATAATGTCCGTTTTGCAAAGTTTCACTTTGAAAGGCTATAACTTTGTCCAGTCTTCATATTCTCAAATGCAATCAAAACCATATGAAGCAGTAAACCTTTCTTAACCTGATGCGCTGCACTTACTGATATCACAAACGGGAGAAAACCATGCGTCAAAAGATTGAAAGTTCTTCTTTTGAAAACGTTGTCTTTGAGAGGTTACAACTCCCTTCAAGTTTTGTTCCTTTGGCTGCTAATCAGCTTATTTTGTAGATGCAAGCCAGTAGTAAACGTCTGCATAGATAAGACTTGAACGAAGGTTGTAAACAGAAAAGATAGAAAATTCAAAATTGTTCACTTTTTCGAGCCTATCCGTGGTAGGCTAGAAAGTCCCAAACTCAGGAAATTTAAAATTCTTTATACACTGAATAGCTAAGCTTTTCTGCAAAAATTGTGGAAAACATGTCCTGGCCTCAAGCATACAGAAATGAGCGAAGCTTCAGCGATTGCTCTAATTACAAGAACTTTGGGTCCATAGAATGCCAGCAGCGAGTATCTATTTCAGGGTGTCGATTTCTCGGCCCAGATATTCTGGAAAAATCTACTTAAACATGCTATAGGTAAACAATGTTCAACCACTACAGTAGCTATGTTTACAAAAGAACCCGTTCATTCTTGATTGTGGCTAACAAAGTCAAAGCAACGAAATTTCGATTTTGAGTCCAGCTGTGTGAAATGCTGGTAAAATTCTCACAGATGAGATAGAAGCTTAATTTCACAATCGTTAGCAAGTACATGAAGAAACCTTTCCAATGATATAAAGAGTCCATATCGAAAAAGAAACTTTGAAGGGAAAAAGTTGTTTGGAAAATAGGCTTAGAAAAACGGACATTACTTTTGCAACAACCTAATATAATTTGGTTAGACTGAATTGTGGCATCAAGTCATTCCTCAAAGGCAGCGTCCACGCAGATTTGGACATTTTCAGATATTGTCATAATCGAGTACTAGGGCCTCAGTCTAGCACTGTAACGCAGATCCGACTTTCAGACACTCTCTGTAGAAGGAGAAAAGACACGGAAAACGCCGAACCTGGAGGACCACGCTCATTGCCCTCGAACGGATTGCCCATATTTGGAATCAGCGCCATGAAAAGGCCTGGATAAGGCAAAAAAAATAGAAGTCGAGATTCTGCCTGGACGCTGCCTTTAATATTCGTTAATACCAGTGAACCAGTAATTTAAAGGTATTTGCAAGAGCGTTCGCTTCGGGATCACCACGCGGTTTCCCGCTATTTGCACATTTTTGAATTCTATATTAGACTAGTGAACCAGCAATCTAAAGATGCTATTGGCAAGAGCGTCCGCTTCGAGACCGCGCCGCAGTTTCCCGCTATGTGCACATTTTTAAATTGCGCTTACGATTCTTTATATATTAGATAGATAGGTAGATAGGTAGATTAGATATTGGCTGTAAGCGCGCTACTTCATGTTCTCCAACTATTCAGTTATTTTTATTTTTATTTTTTTCATGTTTTGCACTCAGTGACGCGTCGAAAAAAAAATCGGAATGTGTTGGTTTTCAGGGATTTCTCCTTGCTTTTTTTCTCTCAGCTCGGTTGGATGATTATGAAATAATAGTACACGATTCTATACTATGTTTCGCTAAAGAGCTTTTGCTGGCGAATTACTAGTGAGGTGTCGTCGGTTGTCGCACGCAGTGTACTGGCTCACATGTTGAATTACGAGTGACTCGCGCAGGAAGTGTGCACAATTTGTTTGAGAGACAAAACTAGAACAGATGCATTTTAGTTGCTCTAATCATCTAGGCCTCGCGTCTCATAGCGTCACCTTATATTTACAAACTACAGGAAAGAGTGCCTTTCTTTTTGAAAAATAACTTTCTGGAAAGAGTGCCGACTCATTTTGACTGAAATACATGCCGGAAATTGCCCCGTTATTTCCCGATTTGGAAAGCAAAGTAGCAGTAGGACTCATTGAAAGAGTTAGATTGTGCACCAAGTTTCAACGAACGTATGAATGCTTTAGGCAGCAAGATTAAGTTAATATATGTCGCGCAGATTTCGCAGATTACTCGTTGGAAAGCAAAACAAAGGAAAAACGAGTAGAAGCAAAGAGGATAAGCGGATGTTGACGGAGCACAAAAATAATCAATGTTTGATGACGCCGTGTTGTTTCTTATAAAAGTCACGTAAGCTCTCCACATGCACGAATGAGCAGTATCCACAGTAGGATCAATCAATATCAGACACATCATTCGAATTAAACTTCGAGAATATGGAAAATGCCTATATCATGAGGATGTAAACTGATATGATTTAGAGCGTTAGAAGTGGTCAAAGCTGAAGTAGCTGTAAGGTCAGGTAAGGGAGAATTTATAGGAAGTTGAGCTCACGTGGCTCAACGAGTTGAACTCGTTCAATCTCGATCGTAAATTGACTTTAACTTGGAACGAGAAAAGCAACAAGTCTTAGCTTGTCAAATGACCAAGTATACGGCTTTCTCGAGTCTTCCATATGGGCTGCAGGAAAAGGAATTGGCGCTATGGCTATCCGGGCCCCAAAAACTTTTTGTCGTGAATGCTCAAGCTCGGTACATGGGGTTATCCGAGCCGCTGATGCGGACTCAGGGCCCGGCACGCGTTGGTTTGGAGCTTTTTTGGAAACGAAGTCCCCATGACTTTTCGAAAATTTACGAAGTCCCTCTCGACGTAAAAATCAATAGGGAAATCCTTTTCAACCAAAATAACAATAAAAAAGCGAAAAAAGCGCATTTTGAGTTATATAGTATAACAAAAAAGCAAAAAGAATACATTTCGAGTAGATTAAAGGCTCTGCAATTGGGTATAGCACCATTTTAGTGCTCCGAAATCGAAAACCTCCTAGGCCAACCAAATCTGTGGCCTCAACAACCCGGCGATGCATTTTTCGCCACATAGTTCAAAGGACACCGCATGTGATTGGAGCGCGATATCTACCAACGCGCAGAACTGCAATACTTTTGGCTCAAAAGAAGAGAGGAGAGGCAATGGTTTGATTTGCTCTCTTCACTATATAATAGATTTTTGAGCGATTTAATCGTCCAAATCAAAAAGGTTCAAAACTTATGTGAACTCTCCGAAATTTATGCTCCGAACCAACCCAGTTGGTTCGGTGGTTGGTCTAGAAACCAACAAATCCGGAACGGGTATTCAGACACATAAGTTTTGGGAACTTTTTACATAACATAGTTTGGAGTAATATTGTATACTCATTGCCCAAATTCGGAGCCATGTGATTGTTTGTGCGCTGTAAACAAGCCATTTGTTTGTTAGAGTCTTGCATTTGAAATTCGCGCGCTTGCGAAAGAACACGTTCAACTCGTGAAACCTGACATGTTCGTCGTGTTTTTTTGCCGCTTCCTCCAGGACCTCATAAAAACGATGTCCCCGTTGCTTCTAACTGCAAAAACGAAGTCCAGTTTGACCCCAAACCATCGGCGCCGGGCCCTGTGCGGACTATCATATATCGCGCGGGCAGAGGACATTAGGTCGTCGAAAGGGGCGGTCTCACGCGGACATTTGGAATAAACCGCGCGCTATTACCATTATTGCCTGTGCTATCTGTCCGCGTGGGTGGAGCCCAATGGCTAATGTCCCCTACCTATTTCGCGCGATAGCTCCATTTTCTGTTACGTTGGGTATACGGTAGGGGGTCAAAATCATGAATTTAGCTGAAATTTGGCTTAGTAGAGCTATTCGACATGCTGTTTACGATCTGATC